ATCCCAGAGTCCTGGGATCAAGTCCCACATGGGGCTTCTTGCTCAGCGGGGAGCCTGCTTCTCTCTCTCTCTCTCTGCCTGCCACTCTGCTCACCTGTGCTCGCTCTCTCTCTCTCTCTCTCTCTGACAAAGAAATAAATAGAATCTTAGCAAAAAATAAAAAGATAACCGGAAGAAAATATACTCAAGAGGTGCTTACTCTGGGTAGTGGGGTTATGAGAAGTTTTAATTTAATATTTTCCAAAGGATTGGGGATGAATTTGTCTTAATAGCATGATAAGAAAAAAAAAATCAGCAGATTGAAAACAGTCACTTTGAATACCGCAACAATAAGACTGGGGTTGCATTGGCTCACAGATGTTCCCAGGAGCTGTGTTTTGGGGGAAGGAGTTCCCTGACAGTTACCCAGAGGGAGACTCTCAAATCTTGCAGGTAGATTGAGGCTTTGCCCAGCAGGTGGTGGGCAAAGAATATGCCAAGCAGAGGGAACAGGACAAACTATTAAATATTTCATTCTAACATTAGCAATGAGCCTCGATGTTCCTGTGGAGCAGAATCCCCCCAGCTACTGGCCAGATGATGACATGGTTTATAAGGTGGGAGCCTTATCGTAGTTTATGATTCTCCTCCCTGGCTCCCGCCTGACCATCAGCACTGAACAAGTGGTACCTTTGTGTTTTATAGTAAACAATGAGCATTATATGAACTAGTTTTACAACCAGCTGCCCAAAATAGCAGAATACTCACAGAGTTTTAAAGCTGGGATATGGCCTCCATCCCATCATTTTACAGAATAATAAACTGACATCAGATTGTCAAAGACTCAAGAACAAGTCAGAGAGACAACTATGATGGAGTGTCTTAGAAAATTGTGTGGGAACTTCTTGCTGCCAATCTTTAGGGTATGAATCAGCAGTTACATTTGTTGACTGAAACTGGAAAAAAATTAACGATCCAGGGTATTGTAACTCAAGGAAAATCCCTTCAAAAAAGGCATGAGGAGGTCCAAGCTGGGCTCTATATTCCCTACTCAACGGACAGGTCAGTCGGTGGCTCCTCTCATGGACAGAGACCTTCGTTTCTTCAACATGACTCTCTCTAGTTTTAGGGCCAGAAATATCTTTCTCACGGACAACAGTCTTGTTACACCTCTCAGAGAAATCCACTTCTTCATGGATCTTTTTTTATTGCATGAGGTTTTCTGACAACTCTGACATGATAATGATGGGTCCATGATTTTGTTGTCGGTTGTGCAGTTCGATTTGGAAGTAGGGTTGGATTCCTTGGTTAGAATATGTAGAAGGATCTCTTATGTCCTCTGTCTTATTTATCATGGTCTATAACTGTTTCCATTTCTGTACACATGGTCAGCTGTCCTCTGCTAGGGAAGGCTTGTGTCGTTTCCTTACATCCTGTCTCCTTAGTGACAATCTTCTCTTGTTGTGAATGCTATTCTTCCCATATTCCAAATCTGCAGGACCATGTCTTGACAAGGTGGCTCTCTATGTGCAGTGCCTGCAGGATGCTGGGGAAGGCCCCTGTGCCTCCTGACACCCCCTCTTCTAGGACTCTGAGCCTAGCAGCAATGCGTGAGCAATGGCTGGGAGGCAAAGAGAATATGGGGTGGGGGACTACAGAGAAGAGAGAAGAAGAATGATGCCTAATGAATGGCCCAGCTTATTAATGACAGAGTTTGCCTGGGGCAGTATCCCTGTTTCTAGTCTCAGGTACATGTATGTTGACACTCAAACGGTATAAAATATCTCTTGTCCCCCTTTCTACTTACCATGGAGATAAACTTGAGCTTATTCCAAGAAAGGATCTCCTACATTTCTGTATAATTATAATAAAATCCTCCATGAATCAAATAGACTTTTAAAAAAGATCAGTTTCCTTTACCGTATCTATCAGGGCAGCATTTTTCGTGTTAGTTTCTGATCTGATCTGACTTAGCTAGGGAAAAATAATATTCTCTCTCTCTTTTCCTCACAAAAAGGGTCCTGTGGTCACTGGATATTACCTCCCACTCTTTTACCTATTCCTTTCTGATTCACTTTTTATTTGAAATTCTTTCTGCTCATTTTTATTGTTTGTTTATTTGAAGGGACCAACAGTTTCCTCTGAGCATCTTGGGAAAATTACTTTTTTGTTGTTTTTTAAAGATTTTATATATTTATTTGACAGACAGAGATCACAAGTGGGCAGAGCAGCAGAGAGAGAGAGAGAGAAGGAAGCAGGCTCCCCGCTGAGCAGAGAGCCTGATGTGGGGCTTGATGCCAGGACCAGGATCATGACCTGAGCTGAAGGCAGAGGCTTTAACCCACTGAACCATCCAGCACCCTGGAAAATTATTTTTTTTTTAAGATTTTATTTATTTGTTTGTCAGAGAGAAAGAGAGAAAACACAGGCAGGAGGAGTGGTAGGCAGAGGGAGAAGCAGGCTTCCTGAGCCTAACTCAGGACTCGATTCCAGGACCCTAGGATCATGACCCAAGTAGAAGGCAGACCCTTAACTAACTGAGCCATCCAGCTGTCCCTCAGGACTATTTCTGACAATGCTTTAGTCAGTGCTACTGTTTGTTAGGCTTATAGTTCCTTTCTAAGGATGTGGCAAAATCAGCCTTGCTGAGTTCACATTGTGTTTCGAAGCACAAGAAGCACCTCCCAGTGTTATACTGAAGCAGAATGTCCTAACTACAGATATAAAATAGAGTCTCTGCTCTTGAAATGCAAATCGCAATGGGGATGAACAATGTGAACAATGGACATATGACCTTGAAGAGACATTCAGGTGATCTGTGATACGAGTCACTGTTCAGCAAGGAGAGTCACAGAAGTGAAAACTACCCTGTGTATAGAATTATCATGGTTATGAAAGCATTTAGCAAACACACAACTAGATTTTTGTCCCTTTTTTCCCCGTATCGTTTGGAAGCATGGTATTAAAATTTCTTTAATGGTGTCCAAACTTTTGGGTGAAATTTCATTTGTAAGAGGGTTTAAAGAAACCAAAGTCTCTAATTAACTCCAAATTTAAGTCAACACTTTCCCTTAATTTACTATAAATTACTTGAGGTTTAAAAAATTTAAAACTGTATACATGGTATGAGAATGTAATGAATCATCTGTAAAGCATATAAATCCCAGCAAGACACTTTGTCAAATTATCTCATCTTAACCATGATCTTTTCATCCCACCAATTCTACTCGGTTTCTGATTTCACTGAGTTGGGATTAAATCAGTGCATTCCTCCCACTGCATAATTAGCACTGCTTTAAAACTCTGTAATTACAAACCTCAACTGCAGATTGTGTATTGCACTCGCTGCCATACCTGCCATTAGCATGGTTTTCAGTTCTTCCAGAACAGTGAGGTAGAGATGTCATGTGAGTAAGTTCCACTGATATATATGTCTGCTGTGGGTTATCTGCAGCAATTATAGACTTGGATGCGATCCCAACACAAGATACAGAACCTGGGAAAATGCCCATGTTTTGTGAATCAAAAAGAATTTTTAAGAAAAAAAATGTTTTTTGAAACAATAAAACCATGAATGAAAGAGTTAGTGTAAAATTTTAAAATTACACAATTGCAGGCTTGATCTTATAAATGGGTACAGTCCTAACCTATTGGTCCTCCTGGGAGGGGAAAAGTATTCTGGATGGTTATCTTCCCTAATTTTGATTACTTTCTACGAAGTGGAATCAAAATGCCTTATGAAGGTGTTCTAAAGCCTTAGTTGACGGCTTCTGCTTGCTTTAGTCCCGGCGATGTGCCAGCCTACAGTCCCCTCCTTACCATGAACTTCTCCAGCACATGGTCCTCTCCCTCTTCTTCCCTCTTCTTCATCAGAGTCTGGAGATGGGAGACCCACTTAAAGCTAAATATAAAGTCTTCCTCATCCAGGAAGCTCACACTGATGAGACTCTGGTCTCACATTCCCAGTTCTAAATACACAACAGAAAAACGTCTTTTCATGATGAAAAAACAAACTCATATATTTTATCTCTTAATGAAAGGTATTCATAATCCTCATATGAACAATTTCCTTTGGGCTACCCTGATTGGGGCTTCTCAATGTATTATATAGAAAGGGGCAGGCTTTTGTTTTTCTCAAATTGTGTGTACACACACACACACACACACACACACACTCTGACCACTACTATTTCCTTGCTATGTATTTCTGGATGGTTATAAGTGAACTGAATTGTGGGAATGATCCCAGCGGCCCTTAACAACTACAATAACTCTCTTGTAATTTGCTGAAAGCAAGTAGTATTCATTTACTCCTTTCCTTGAAGTTCATAACAAAAGCAAACAGGTAGATTTTTGTTCAGAATCTTCAGATTAGTACATCTAAAGGCTTTGAAACCAGATAAATGCATAAGTCAGACTAAAGAAATAAGCTCTTGAAGCAAAGGGGTGGGAAAAGAAGCCAGCTTTGCGCAAACTGAGAGTTCAATCTGGCTGTTTGAGTAAGAATTTTCAGACAATTGTTAGTGAGGCTAATGAGGGGTACTAAAATGAATTATTACTAGCATTGTGAGTTACTTTACCGTATGAAGAGGTACTGAAGTAACAAAGAGAATTTAGGTGTAATTATTTAGTACTGCTCCCTCCCTTCTTCAAATTTCTTTAGTACATAGAGGTATTGGGGCCAACTGGTTCCAGCCTGGGTGTTACTAGTTCTCAGAAGTGTTCTCCTCCCTGTAGCTTTCTGAGAGTAGCTATTATGCTGTGTGGCAAATGATTAACTCTGTCACTTTGAATTTTGTATGCCTGCTTTTAAGTATGATGGACTTCAGTCTTGCAATGGAAAAAATACAAAAGTCACCTTAAGTTTTACAGTGTAACCATTTTAATAGTCCACACTAAAATAGGCAGTACAGTTTTGTAGTTCCACATTAAAAGCAATCTTGTCTTACTTAAAATGCTTCTACCTAAGGTTTCCTGCCCTCTTTCGTGTAAGGTCTGAGTCTACCTTACACGATCTAAGTACATCTAAGAAGTACATCTAAAGTGCATTTCTCTGGCGTTAATTTGCTTTCCAATAGCAAGTCCTGAATCAGAGTGGGGCTTCCTGGCTTCCTCCTTTGAGGGGCTGTGCAGTCCCAGTTGGGCTACGAACTCAGAGAAGTACCCTTCTCACTCCCCAGGTGGCCCAAGGGGTGGAGGTCACTGGAGAACTTTTGGGAAAAAATAATTATGCCAACTTCCTCTGTGGCAGGTATCTTCTCTTACCATAGATAAATACTCAATGCCTCCTTGAGTCATGAAATATTGACAACTCGGTCGATTTCCAGGAAGAAGAAAATCGGGGAGGCCTTGTTTGAAATACTCTGAAGTTGGCAGGATGAGACACCAGGTACTGGGGTGAGCCAGAACTCTGGGGTTTAGAACTGGGGGTAGGGAGGAGTGGTGGGAAGAGATACAGTCCCGGAAGCGCTCCGACTACTGCGTGTCCTCCTGCGGGTCACCCGGGAAGCCCTCCTCGTCCGGGGACCTGACTCCTTCGGGGAGCAGAGTAGCGCGCACTTTCCTCTTCTCTTTAAAGCGGCCCGAGCGCGAGATCTTCAAATTGCGGCGGCTGCTGCCCGATTTCTCCCCGCACAGCTTGTCTGGCTTGTGGGGGTCGCCGGACCCCCCGAGGAGATTGCGGTGCTGATTCTCCCGGGAGCTGCTAGTCCAGTCCGGGCTGGGCGGTGCGGGCGGCGCTGGCTCCCCGGGCGCAGCTTGCGTGGGAGGCTGCGCCCCTACTGCGGCTTCCTTGCTTTTCGTCCTGCTGTTGGTCAGCGATTTCCACCAGGGCCCCGAGCTGCCCGCGCCGCCGCTGTCGGCCATGGCCACCCGGCCGAGGGGCCCCGGGGTGCGGTGGGTGGGGAAGGGCCTGCTCTCCGGGTAGGGCTGGCGGTCTCCCGGGTGGGAGCCTAGGCGGCTGCCTGTGCAGGGGGAAGCAAACAGAACTCGGTTACGGGGTTTGTCTAAGTCACGTGCCCCCAGCCGCACTTCCTCCGCGCGCCCCGCCCCGCAGGCGACCTGCGGGACTCGGAGATTCCGCAGCGGAGCACCCGGAGCTGCGCCACCCTCCCAGTGTCCAGCCGCACCCTCGAGGGTGAAGGCGGACGGGTGGCCTCCAGGGCGCCACCGTCTGGTCTCCAGACGGCTTGGCACGCCCCCGCCTCCTTCCTGGTCTGGCCTCCCGGGCGGGTGCGGTGGTCCGCGCTCCCGGGGCGCCCCAGGGGAGGTTCCCGGGCCTCTGAATGAACCCGGCTCGAGAGGGAAACTGGCTTTGTCCTGTCACCTTGACTGACTGTAGAGGGATGCCCAGAGGTGACCCACTTGGCCCAGAGGGGCCTCCTCTTGGTTGAGCACCTGGGAGGAGGGCGCCCGGGAGCGAGCGCATCTCCGCTGTAGGGGAGCACTGAACATCAGACCCCCGTCAACAGTCCCGAAATTTCCCTCAGAGGCTTTTTTCCCCATAGACTTCTGTCACAGGATCTTTTTCAATGTGGTTTTTCAGGGGGAACTGACATGCCAATAAGAGCGAGGGGGCAAGCTCACGGTGTTGTGTTTCTCCTAAATTCTTTTTTTGACAGAACTCCTGCCTTGTCGCTTTCAGAGAAGCATGTCTAGACTTCACTTCCCTTGAAAACCGCCATCCCACGCTTCCTTTTATTCCCCAGAGACCAATCTTACGTCTCTTGGAAGCCACCCCCAGCGGATGGTTGAGATGAGGCCAAGCGGCAAGCGTCCTCGTCTCTTAGTTCTTTATTAAAATATGCGCCGAGCCTATTTGGACCAGGCAACCCCACTTTTGAGATTTTTAGTTACACATTAAAAATTGCTGTGGGGGGTGAGGGGGTGGGGGTGGGGTGTGTGTGTTTGTGTGTGTTTTCCTCCCGCAATTCCTCCCTCCAGAGAAAAACCTGCTGCGCGCAACCAAGAACTCCAAACAGTTGTGCTTCTCCCCAGCTTTAAACACAGCGCACTGCGGCGCGAAAAGGCTGCTTATTGTTACTGAAGGTGCTCGCATGGGCAGCGAGAGTCCTGCGAGCACTTCTGTGCTGGGTCTCCAGGCATTAACTCCACGAATGCGCGGGATTCGCTGGTGCCGCGGAGCATTTCCAGGTTTCTCCAGGGCTCCTTCCCATCCCACGCGCTTGGCGCTCCCGGGATTTGCCCGCGCGCCGGGGAGCGAAACTTTAGCGGAGTTTGTTGTTGGAGGCTGGGCTCCCGGAACCGCTGGGAAAGTTCCAGCGCCTACGCGAGGCGGCGCGGCAGCCTCCGAGGCAGAGACCTGGGCCCCGGCTCCTCCCCAGGGCGCCCCGAGGACACACTCGGGGTGCGACTTGAAAACAATAGAAGATAAAACCGCCTAAAGTTCTTCCAGTAAAAAGGCACCCACTCCTTCCTCGCCCCCCCTCCCCGGCACGGTTTGCACTTGGGTTTGCAAACATCCTGCTCCCGCTATTGTACAGATCGGAGAAGCACCCCCAAGTTATTCATTGGTGGTGGTGGTGGGGTGTCCTGATGGCTGTCTTCGGTCTTCCACTCTACATTCTCTTTTCCACGACCAACTGTGTGCGCGGAAACGCTTTGCACTAGTTACGCAAGGAAAAGACTGCAAATTACAGAAATGTACGCGGAGAGTTGCGGCTCGCAATTTTTCCCCAGGAGCTGAGGGGAGCACCCCAGGTTGACACCCCGGAATGGGCTCTGTCTTGGCGGACGCAGAATCACCCTAATCGCTCACCTGTTCGGGCTTCCCAGGATCCCACGACTCCAAGTCGCCCTCACCTCCAAGAGAACGGAGGGAGTACTCTTGGGACAACTTGGAAACCCGGCGCAGGGTCCCTCCCGCGCAGTCTTGGGGAGGTCGGGCTTCTTTCTGTAAGGTGTGTCAGCCGAAATCTCTGCAGTCCAGCTAAGCCGATTGGTGCTGCTGCTGGTGGTCTTCCAGGGCGCCTCCGACTTCGGCCCGCCGCAGCGGTGGCGGCAGTTCTGGGCCCGCGGCGCGTTCGGCTCCAGCCGGAGGGCGCGCGGCGAGCAGGTGCCAGGCTCACTGCCCCAGGTGAATGCCCACGCAGGCTCTCCGGGTTAGCACGTCTGTCATTCTCCCGCGCGTCCCTCTTCCCTGCTAGCGCTGCCGGGCAGCCGCGGGGAGATCGGCTGCTCGCTCTGGTGCATTGAACCTGCTTACACGTCGGTCCTCTGCACGGGAAAAGACCTCTACCTGCCCACCTGCTGGTTATTCGCCAAGTGATTCGAGAAACCAGAACTCCGGGGTCAGAGGGGAAAAAGAAAGGAAAAAAAAAAAAAAAAAACCCAACAACAAACAACCGAGGAGGCGGCCACAGCTGCCACAGGTGCAGGTAGGAACTTGGCGTTCCCGCCCTCCAGGAGACGAGATTGGATCGGGTCGCGTAGTGACGCCGGCCTGGGGTGTCTGATTGGAGAAACGCCACGCGGCGCCGCTCGCGGGCCGGACTCCTTCTCAAAGAAGAAACGCTAGAGGAGATCGTAGACCAAGAGACCGCGGGTGTACGTAGGTGGGTTCCGCTGCGTAAAAGTAAATGTCGCCCCAGCTGTCCCCCTGCCCCTGCCCTGAGTTCTTTTCCCCCCCTTCCTCTCCGGGCCCTAGCCATGGCCACTCAGCTCCCAGGATTCCGGTTTGTAATTCCCAGGAGCTGTTTCATACCCAGGCAAAATGTTGCCGAGTTGCAGGCACTCTTGGTTGAAAGCCGTAATGTTAATAAGTTCTCGGTGGGGGGCGCCTGGGTGGCTCAGTGGGTTAAAGCCTCTGCCTTCGGCCGGGGTCGTGATCCCGGGGTCCTGGGATCGAGCCCCGAGTCGGGCTCTCTGCCCCGCTTCCTCCCCCTCTCTCTCTGCCTGCCTCTCTGACTACTTGTGATTTCTCTCTCTCTGTCAAATAAATAAAATCTTAAAAAAAAAAATAAGTTCTCGGTGTTAACAAGCTGTTCACAAGGCGCTGTTTCCAGCGTTTTCTGGGAGTTGACTCGTTTGGTTCTCACAGGAGCCCTAGGACGCAGGTGCTGTTATTTTTCCTCACTTGACAGGCGAGGAGACCCTAGAGCGGAAAGCAAAACGGTTGTTGAGAGTTGCACGGCTGGTAGCAGAGCCGGCTTTGAACCCAGGAGGTCTGATCCAGCTCCCATGGTGTTCATTAGCGCGGGAGATGGCACCCTGTCAATCTTAAGCTCTTAAAACGACCAAGTGAGGATGTGAATTTCTTTCCCTCAGGTCTGGAAGTCCAGTGGACAGACACTCCTCCTGGGGAGTACAGATCCAGCCCTGAGCCGCTAGAGGAAGTGAGCCAGTGGATTTCTGCAAGGGTTCAGGAGGCTTTTTGCTCCTGGGAACATCTGTGTACTTTTTATTGGTTGGGCAAAAAGACATTGGCATAGGTCCTTTCCACTAATGAAAGCAGAGGTACTACCTGCTCTATCTTCCAGGATGTTCTCCCCCGCCCTTTTTTAAAAAAAGATTTTATTTATTTATTTGACAGAGAGATCACAAGTAGGCAGAGAGGCAGGCAGGGAGAGAGAGGAGAAAGCAGGCTCCCCACTGAGCGGAGAGCCTGATGTGGGGCTCCATCTCAGGACCCTGGGATCACGACCTGAGCGAAGGCAGAGGCTTTAACCCACTGAGCCACCCAGGCGCCCCTGTTCTTCCTTTTCAAAGCCCTATTTTGATGTTCCTTCAGGTCCCGAGTAACTCCTCTAAAGGAGTGCGTATAGAGCAACTGACATCTGAGCATATTTGTTCTGAGGACTTTTTGAAGCGTAAAAATAGGGAAAGGCGTGATGACTACCTCAACTTACAACGTAGAATTAGCGGAAATAATTTTTATAGAGTATTTCAATGCCCGAACTAGGATAAAATAGGAATACTTTATATCATTAATTCTTAATTTAACATTCTTGGATTTTTAAGTGATAGGCACAGCAGTGTATATTTGAAAGTGAGGCAACTTCACACATTTATTGTGATTAGTTTTAGAGAGTAAACTTTCAGAGCATGAGGACTGGAACAGATGCAGGCCACCCCCTGGGAGGGAAGGACAGGACAATCCATTCTAGTGCCATCCCATCACAGATGAAGCCACTAGATCAAGGAGGAAGGCTTGAAAAGGAAATACTTCCACAGCTTCCCTTGTAATTAGGCATACCCATAGATCCAGTTCTGGGGCCATATGGAAGACTTCTGGAATTGTTTCTTCCCTGGATAAAGGACAGAGCCTTCTGAGAGAAGACCATCTTTTGCTATACCCTTGATTCTTATATTTAAGCATAGCATGAGGGTGTGATGTCTGGTATTTCAGCAGCCATTTTGCAACAGTGAGGCCATAGGTATGGGAATAAAAACCAGCATGCTAAGGAGGATGGCATGGGAGTATGGGAAGTGTCTGGGTCTTGATGATATTGAGAAGCCCCTGAAAGAACCTTGGAACCATCTACCTCCAGACAACTAGTTGGGTGAGGTAATATACATTCCTATGATTTAGGCACAGATTTAAATAGTTTCCTGTTACTAGCAGCCAAAAAGTGTTCTCCTTGATACCGTCTATTAGAGAAAAAAAAATTATGTTGTTCAAAGGGAAAAAAGAGAATATTGTCACATTTTTTTTTTTCTGACCAACCTGGATAGTTCTTTATGGAAGGAGGATTTAGTGAAATGTTTAAATGATGGGAATATTTAGAGACAGAGAATGCATCTGTAAAATAAGTCACTTTGAAAAGTTGATTTATCTATCCAGTGACTAGTGGGTGACTTTTAATTTTATAGAATTTAAATATGCTTAAATTGGCCAATGCTTTTCTTAATATTTTATCTTGTCATTTTTTATTTTTCAAAATGTGTTGATGGCTGGAGTAAGGACATTTCCTTCCTTCCTCTTTCTAATTAAATTGCTTCTTTCTCAGGTGCACCTTTAAGTGCAGTAAATGATAATATTCAAAGGTGAAAGAGAATGAATTTCTAGAGGGCAATATTTGCATACTAGAAATTAAAATAAGAACTTTCAAGGTTAAACCTGGCCTTTGTAATCATAGCAAACCTGGCATTGCCTTGGAGTCTGGGAAATTGATTATTTTCCCTTAAAGCATTTATAGTGGGACCTGAGTAATGGAAAACCCACAATGAGAAAATTTAAGAAATACAGCTGATCAAAATGCAGAAAATAAAGGTCATTTACATTCATTTCACCCAGAGCTAACCATGGCTAAGGTCTATTCTTTTTGCCCCTATATTTGCATTTACTCTTTTAATCTTTTCCCTTTCCTCCCTTCCTTCATTCCTTTATTTTTTCGAGGATTTATTTATTTGAGAGAGAGAGAGCGAGAGAGGATCGGGGGAGGGGCAGAAGAGGAGGGAGAGAGAATC